ACCCTACTGTACTTGAAAATCGATACCTAGGCCAAATCGGGCACTCCATCTGTCTAGTGCTTATAACCACTGACGTACTGCAAGGCCTACAAAACCTCACAGCAGTATTGTTTGCTGCAAGAAGTCTCATTTGCTGCACCTCATTGTACTCACTACTACTACTACTACCATCACCACCACCTCCCCTCAGTGCCAACTGCCGAGCCACAGCAGCAGCGGACCGAAATCCAGAGTACGTTGTGTATCTTGTTAACCAATGTACTTGGTCAGTGAGATATAAACAATGATAATCTTTACAAATTCTGTAATGTATAAAAAGTGTCATGATAGAATAGACAGTGAGGCATCAAAGGTTATGATAAATGCGGAAGCAAGAAGGAGGGGAGAGAGGAAGAAAGAACGACAAGTCAATCGGTCTCGAGCCAATTAAGATCCACCTCGCCCGCTCCGACAGCTGCCTCCAACTTCTCAGCAACCTTCTTGTAGGAGGCTAATTCCGTTTCAACTTGCTGCACAACTTCCCGTTCATATTCCTCGTTAAAAAGATCCGTGATTAAATTATGTCGATTCATCGTTGGTGCGAACGTTGATGAAGCCAGACGAGGTCGCTAAAATCAGATGGTAGCAAGAAATAATATCTAAATTAAGACAAATTCACCGTGGAAACCACAACAGAGAGCGAATGGGGAGGCTAGCTTTCCAAAATTGCGTATCGACCTTTTTAAATCATAACCGAATAGCTTGCGCCAAAGCACCAACTGATGTTAGTACTAACCTGGCACTGACGGTAAAAGTTCATCATAAAATAAAGGATTTATATGAAATGTGAGATTGATTGCATCGGCACAGAGAAAATGGAGAAAGAGAAAAGCTTACACCGTTGACAATTCGAGTGCGCTTAAGAAGGGCCTTGCGGTAGGCCTCTACAGCCTCAGGTTTTTGATGAGTGAGTAGAAAGAAGAGCAGAATTTGGTAGACACGACGTGACTGCGTACGCGACAGCTTGAGCTGCTGCTGCACTACCCTATAGAAGTTGTTAGCGGCGTTGATGCTGCGGGTTTCTGCTGGAGTCACGCTGAGGCGTCTGCGCTTGACGCTGGTCGGTGTCCCCTCCTCTACGTCTCCTCCTCTCTCGTCTGCTGCTGACACCGTTTGGGTGGACCTCACCGCCGATTTTACACTCTCCTTCACCTCCTTGAGAATCTTGATACAGTCCGCCAGCTCTAGGCAGCGCTTACTATCCAGATAGTCACGCAACCGAGTCAAATCATCCGAAGGACTTTCCACTAAAACGTGTAACTAAGTAGCTATCAGTCTCTAGCCTTTGGTTATTTCTCATATAAGGAATTAAACTCAATTGGCTGCTAAGAATTACGGATTAGATAAGTGAACTAGAGTAGAGGATCTCCGCTTTCGGCAGGTTTCAATGAACGTTTCATCTGCGCATTACAGTAAACAATGCTCGTTTTACTCTGTACCCGATTCCAAGTAAAGCATTATATTGCATTATTTGTCTTAATGTGCTTTATAATCAGGTATAAGACAATTGATAAAAATGACTAAGTTCAAATTTGTTGTTAATCGAGTACAAATAGAAATCTAGCATAGCATAAAGTAAGATATTTAGCAAGAATAGTAAGTGTTGCTATTTCTTAAATAATAGCTTAAAACGTCAGGAGGAAATCGCATGTGAAGCTAATTAAATATTTCTATCCGAAAATAACACCATAATCCTCAAGGTTACGGCAAATATGGAAAAATGATACTTGCTTAAATCTTACCAGTAATATCAATGACTTCGGTCAAAGGAGTCAGATCTTCGTAAACTGTTTCAAGTAATCGGGTAGCGTGACCCATCTTCTGGAAGGGGGGCAGAATTAACATCTGACTCAATCTGGGTCGGATGTGTTCTGGGTACGCATAAAACTTGTAAACGGACACGTAACCAGCAAACGCAAAACGTTCGTTTGGAGAGCCCGCAGAACTAAACTTCTCATACCTAATGAAGTAGATGTTCTAAGCACGGATATGCGTCTTACAATACGTAGAAACTCCACCTGTTATCCAACTCAACGAATGAAGATTCATCAACAAAAAACAGAAGAAAAGGCTCCATGCGTAAAAGATAGTTGGAAAAGGCTCCAAAGTCTGGTGACGAGTGATCAACGCAGTACACCACAAACTCATAAGACTGCCCGTCTCTGCTGATCGTATAACTCGATCGCAAACTACCAAAAGGTTTAAACTTCAGCTCTTCCTCGAAAGTGCCCAAGAAATCCGATTTCTTAGTATAAATGCCTTGTGGGTACACACTTTTCAAAGACTGCAAAATATCATCCGGCTGAAGGAGGCAAATAAGAGAGGTGACCACCATACCTTAACTCCGCCGGAAATAGGCTGAGGTATCTTCTCAGAGTACTTAATATCGACAAAGGTAGAAAGACTTCCAGCCATATAAGCGATTGTGATATTAGGATCTTTATAACCGAATATTATTTCGCTAACACCAAATACGCATGGATTCAGCAACCTACCTTTCGCCAAAAACCTGGTGTGTCATATCCGGCATAAAGGACTCACCAGCGTCCAGGTCTTCCTTTTCTCGAACTAGTGGAGACAAGAAGAACATTCGGCTGTTTTGTAATGAGCAAGAACGAGGAACGAATACTTTAAGAGTTACTTAGTCGATGCAAAAAAATTGACATATGGCGAAAATAAGTAGAAATCAAGCTTAAAGAATAACGATAAGGATTACAATGAGTAAAGCCAAGTAGTTCAACAACACACAGGTGAAAATCTAGAGGAAGATGAAGATCACTTCCACTTCGACATTTAGTTGAGTAAGATGGAATTTTGAGGCAACGTTTCGTCAAACCGTTCATAACGAAAAGAGCCGAGAGTACGAAAGCACAATTGTAGGAAGTAAACAAAGTTCTCACTCAATTTAAAGTGAATGACTTCATAAGCGTTCGCCTTGTACGCGCTGACGATACTGTTCATTTTAATTCTAGAGCAGACCCCGAAGAAGACGATAGGCTAATTTGCAAGTAAATTCAATAGCTCGCCTAAACTTGACACATCAATGACACTGCACGGGCGACCTAAACAAACGTTAATTTAGTGATGATTCCAACATTTATTAGCTAAAGGATTCGTAACATTAAAATATGTTTTTTAGGTTTTTCAGCATTAAATGAATTAGTTGGATTGTTTATTTACGGATCTATGTAAGTATGCAATGGACACAATTATAATGAGCTTATGGTTGGCTTTCTAAGAAATTACCAAACATTGCTCACCCAACCATCAAAGTCACGTACAAGTTTAATTTAATGTCTTCTTCTGT